GATCTGCACAGAAGACTCAGGGTCATCGTAGGGAACCACAGCCCCACAAGGAAAGTCCCTTTCTGAGGGACCTTGAGTGCCCCTGAACTAGAGCAACATACAGACAAAGCGCCAAACCCCCTAAGTCCTCCCTCAAGCACCAGTCCAGGTGACTCTGCCACACAGAGCAACATTACCATGGCCAGAGAGGCGCAAGTGGGGAACCCAGCCTCCTCTCCTGAAGGTCAGGTTTGATGTGCCATCGCTCCCCACCAACTGCACAGGGAAGTTCAGAAACTCTCCCCCTAACCGAGTACTTCAACTAGGTGCTGCCCAAAGCCCCACGAGCGCTGGGAGATCCCAGACACCGCAGGGCCGTGGCGTGCTGAGCCACCCCAAATACACTGCTGAGATACCGACACGGGTCACACGCAGTTCAGTGGAGAAGAGCTTGTTCCTGCAGGTTCAAAGCACCCGCTGCCTTCAGGCACTTCAGTTCCACCACAAGCAATCAGCTGGTCAGAAAGCGCCTTCTGTAAGTGACCGTCTTCCCGGCCTCAGTTTTCCCCTAGGACCACCCAGCTCCGTGGTTCTTGTGGAAGGAGGGGCTCCCTCCAGGACGCACAACCACCTCCTCGGCTTCACAGTGATGTTTAATCCCTGCTTTGACCAAATATTTGCGTTGAAAAGAAATAAAAGGCTTTCTTGACACATTCATCTGAAGCAGAAAACGTCAACCCACAGAGCTGGAGTTCCCCTAAACTGCTGCTGCCCGTGAGGTCATGTCACGACTGCGGTGCTGCAGCTCCACACCAAGCGCCCCACGCCCCCGGGGACACCCTCCTACGGGTCAGGAGCTCCCAGCTTCTGTTTCAGCATCAAGTACTGCAAGAGAAAGGAAACCAAGCACTCACCATCAAATCCCAGAGACCTGCAGACAGGAAAGCAGCCACCCTTGCACATCAGCCAGCAAAATCGTTGCCCTTGGCCAGAAGACGCCCGACTCCCGCCTTCCAGCGATCTCCGCCAGCCGGTGCCGAGGGACAGGACAGTTGCCAAAGCAGCAACGTCCCTGTAGCAGGCCAGGGGCAAAGCTGGTAACCAGATCTAAGCAGCTCCTGGTTTCCTTCATCATTCCTTTTTTTTATTATTATTATTATTTCACCAGAAAAGGGGAAAAAAAAAAATCAGGGGCACTGCCACCACCCAGTCCAGTCCTCGGGTAACCAGCCGGTGCCGAGGGACAGGACAGTTGCCAAAGCAGCAACGTCCCTGTAGCAGGCCAGGGGCAAAGCTGGTAACCAGATCTAAGCAGCTCCTGGTTTCCTTCATCATTCCTTTTTTTTATTATTATTATTATTTCACCAGAAAAGGGGAAAAAAAAAAATCAGGGGCACTGCCACCACCCAGTCCAGTCCTCGGGTAACTGAGCCGTCACCGTTCAGCCCACGTCCCACCACGGGTGGCACTGCTCTGCCCGCAGGCACTGCTCTGACCCACTGGTTTGGGAGAGGCAGGGTCAGGCCCTTACGTTTTTACGGCTGGCGATAGCTTGTTGCAACCACAGCAGCTCCATGATCAAGTGATTCCTGTAGGACTGGAGACCAGACCGAGTTCGAGGAAGCTTCTTTAAGTCCTCAAGTGGAATTTCTGCAAAGAAACGGAAGAATAACCTATTATTAGAACAAAGATCCAGAGCACACCTACCCAATGTCCTGCACCGAGCTGTTCCCCCCTCTCCGGGGTACTCTCAAGGTTTTGGTTCTCCAGGGACCTGCTGCGCCCCCTGCACTCACGCCAGGTCACCCAGAGACGCCGCACACCAGCTCCCGCCTCTTACCCAGGCAGTCCTCAAGGGACTCTGCCTCCAGGACAGCGCTGTCCCACCCAGAGGACACGTTGCTGACGTTCTGCCCGTCCTCGCTCTCTGCTGGGGCGCTGCGCCCCTCTTCGGCGCGTTTGTCGGCATCAGCCCCGAGATCTGGGGGGGTCACTACATCGCCTTCACCCACGGAGCTCGGTTCTTTCTCACTTTGCAGCTGGGCTGTAGGATTCCCACTGCTGCAGCCCCGGTCCTGTCCTGGTTCAGAGGCGTCCAGCTCCTCCGGCTGTTTCACTGCGCCGACCTCGTCACACGGCACAGCCTCCCGCGGAGCTGGACCCTTCCCTTGCGTTGGCGTCTGAAGGGGCAACATGGCAAGATTAAAATATAAAGAAAAGAAAATATAAAGGTGCGAAAGGTGGCTCTGCCACGGGCCAGAGGCTCTGTCCCAGCCAAAAATCTGCCGTTAGCAGACACCGAGCTGTCACGAACATGGAAGGGCTTTCCTGCCAGAAGTGGTACAGACATCAGAGCGCAGCCGCTCCCCCCGGGAGTGGGTCCGACCGGGTGAGGTGGCTGCTGGGGGACAACACCCGCAGGAGTCACCTGCGCAGGTCGGGCGTTTCACTTCACCCAGAGGAAGAAATCCTCTGTCGGGGACTCAGGGGCTCAAGTCAGGGGGAGTCTTACAGGCTGGGGCTGCGTAATTATCGTTTCAAATTTGGCAGAAACGCAGCTTCCCGGGACTATGCTGCGAAAGCACCGTCTGCCCAGCCCGCCTGGCCACACCACC